CAGGGCGAATAATCACAGGCATTTCAAATGCATGTTGGGCTGCGACAGGGAGATGTGCTGGCGTGTCTCCTTTTCAACATAGCTCTGGAAAAGGCGGTCAGGTATGCCCAAATAGACAACACAGGAAACATGTTTAATAAATCATACCAAATTTTTGCATATGCAGATGATGTTGACCTAGTTGCCCGCACAACACGTAAGCTAGAAGAAATGTATACCACCTTGTCAAATGTCTCAAAAAATATGGGCCTAGAAATAAATGAGGAGAAAACTAAGATAATGGCATCAACACCCAACAATAGAGCCAGAAACATCGGATACCAATTCACGGTTGATAACACTACCTTTGAAGTAGTGGACAAATTCACATACTTAGGCTCCCTGATCACCAAGGAGAACGTCATGAAGGAAGAAATAAAGCGAAGAATAATCCTAGCAAACAAATGCTATTTTGGATTGAGTAGACATATGAGAAGCAGAAACTTAAGCCAAAAAACAAAAATAACCATATACAAAACCCTTATACAACCAGTGTTGACATATGGATCGGAGACATGGACCATTTCCAAGACAGATGAAAACCTCCTGCTTATATTTGAACGAAGGATCCTGAGAAGAATATTCGGTGGCATCTGTGAAAATGGTGTTTGGAGAAGGAGGTACAACTACGAGATATATCACAGATATAAACATATGTTTGGTGGTAAAGACGTAGGATCTCTTATAAAAATAGGAAGACTAAGATGGGCAGGAAATCTGGAAAGATCACAGCAGAACAACCCTCCTAGAAGAATCCTTGATGATATAGCGGTTATTAAGTGTACACGCTCTTCCCGTATGGATCTATTGAGTAACACCGAGACGCAAGTCCCCTGTGGCATAAGGACACAAATCAATTTTAGAGATTCAAAAGTTCGATTTTACATGTGTTCGATTTAAATTTAATTCAATGCCAAAACGTGATATTAGGAAAAATATACGTAAACGCGGGAACATAATTATTAGTCTAACAGTATATATTTACGAATACCTTGTATAAACAACGCAAGTCGCAGATTTAAAGCGAAAAGGAAGATAGATAAAAATAAATTTTTACTAACGTTGACAGAGTTTTGTAATGTAGAAGCAACCCGACCTGGGTCAACTTTAAGAGTATCAAAATAGAAACTGAAACATCACAAGCAATAGAAATACGTAGAGGAGTACGACAGGGTTGCATTTTGTCACCTTTGTTATTTAATGTATATAGTGAAAGCATCTGTCAGGAAGCCCTTTTACAAGCAAACGGAGGAATCGTAATTAATGGAGAGATTGTAAATAATATTCGATACGCGGACGACACTGTACTAGTTGCAAGAACAGTAGAAGAATTACAAAGATTACTTACAGACATAAATATTGCTTGCAACAATTATAATATAAATATCAATATTAAAAAAACCAAGTATATGGTCTTCAGTAAAAACATGACACAACCAGCGTATATTAGTATAAACGGCACTCAAGTTGAAAAAGTATCAAACTACAAATACTTGGGAACTTTAATAAACGAAACTGGAGACCAAAACAGTGAAATAAAAAGACGTATCGAAATTGCCAGGGCCACCTTCATAAAGATGAGAAAATTCTTCTGCAACAGAAATATAAGCATCCCTCTACGATTAAGAATGCTGAGAGGCTATGTATTTAACACGCTATTATACGGTGTAGAGGCCTGGACTCTCAAACAGAACAACATGAAAAATATTGAAAGTTTCGAGATGTGGTGCTACCGTCGAATGCTGAAGATTAGTTGAGTTGAAAGAATAACAAACTGTGAAGTAATACGAAGAATAGGAAAAGACCCAGAGATTTTGTTAACGCTAAAGCGAAGAAAACTCGAATATTTTGGTCACCTGATGAGAGGACATAAATACGCATTACTTCAAAATATAATGCAGGGAAAAATAGAAGGAAAACGGAATCCAGGCCGTAGAAGAATGTCATGGTTGCGGAATTTGAGAGAGTGGTTTGGCTGCACCACTAATGAACTCTTTAGGTCAGCCGTAAACAAGGTCAGAGTAGCCTTGATGATTTCCAATCTCCGATAGGAGTGGCACAAAAAGAAGAAGAAGTTATACACTAAATTAATAAGAACAAACCATCTTTCTCTTGGAAAGTGAACATGGAAAATCAGTTCGGTTAATGCTTCAGTCGGAGTACGACACCACAATGCACTGTACTGCTCATCCATAGGTAGGTCCGACTAGCGTATTCTAGTATTTTACAAATAAAGAAACGTGGGATGAGTTCCATACATACACAAGAAAATGTTTGTGCTCTCCCGACAACCAGATTGTTATATGCAGACAGGTCAAACACAATTAGAAAACTTTTGCAGCTTGATTTCATCATTTAGATAAACCAAGGTTATTTGAGGAGGATGAAATTTTTGTTCTATATTATCTTCTTCTTTTGGTGCCTATCCTTTGTGGATGCTGGCAATCACGTTGGCCCATACAACTTTGTTGACAGCTGCTCTAAATAAATGTATGGTAGTCATTCCTGCACACTCCTCTGATGTTCTTCAACCACGATGTCCTTCTGCGTCCTTGAGATCTTTTACCTTCTATCTTGCCTTTAAAATTAGTTGATACTGCTCATTGCGCATCACATGCCCTAAGTATGTTATCTTTCTGATTTTCACGATACGCATAATTTCCAGATCTTTATTCATACGTTGGGTCACGGTGTTGTTTGTAACATGATGGATATAGGAAATTCCTGAGAATATGGCGGTAGCACCACATTTCGAAGGCTTCTAATCGTTTGGATGTTGCCTCCGTCAAGGTCTAGACTTCGAATCCATATAAAAGGGTAGAAAATACATAGCATATCGAGACTAGTGTTCTTATATCAATGTTCAGGTGCATATTACATAAAATCTTCCTGAGGTGATTGAAGACAGCTTTCGCCTTTTCTATACGACATCTTATTTCCTGTGAGTGGTCCCATTCCTTATTTAGATATGTAATTTTATTGACCATTTTCAAGGGCTCATTATTAGCTGTGAATTGGTGCTGTATTACGTCGTTTTTACTTACAAGAATTTTGGTCTTCTTAACAATCAAAACCGTATCGTCCGCATATCTTAAATTGTTTATGATTTCACCACTGATTTTTATACCTTCACTTATACCATCAATAGCTTCTCGCGTTCCCAGTCCGCTACTAAGCCCAAACTGAACACAGCTGATGTTTTCTTTGAAGTTTTCTATATATGCGAGAGTGAATAACAGTTAGAAGGATTTTGAGTGCATGGCTCTAAGCTTATAATTCTGTAATCAGAGCATCTGGTGCCATTTGCCTTTTTCGGGAGAGGGATGAAGGTGGAAACTAGCCAATATGTAGGAAATTTTGCAGTTTCATAGATTTTGTTCAGTAGATTCGTTAGGAGTTTGAGTTGGTTGTTTTCCAACAGTTTCAATATTTCAGCTTGTATGTTATCAGGTCCAGGTGGTTTGTTGGTTTTAAGTCTTTTTATTGCATATGTTACTTTACTGAGCGTTATTTCTGGTCCTGAATATCCAGAAACATTGACTTCTGTCTTTTGCTCTACCTTGAATAATTCTTCCATGTATTACCTCCATCTCAAGTATTTTCTCATTTTCGTAGAGCAGATTGTTGTGCTCGTCTAGTATTAAGTTATGACTTCGTGATCCGTTTCCTCCCGTTTGTAATCTTTTTATGTAGGTTAGAAGTGTCATGCTTTGACTACTTTGTCAAACTACATCTCGTTTTGATTTTTGGAGACATATGAAATCCTTAGTTTATTTATGCCAATGAAATTAATTCACGGGATGAATTCTGGACGAAAATACAAAGTACGTCTAAAGACAGGAAACATTTTTTATCGCCCGAAGGTCTTGCATAAAAAAAAAATTAGAAAAGGCATATGATTCAGAGAATACTTTAGAGAGTTTGATTTTGCTCTTTATTTAAATTAAACAATAATAATTATTTATAATACTGTCTTTTGTTAAAATACAATTGATTGTTTATTGAAATACCCCTTGTGACAGTCTGGTTCGTTTGTTCAATTGCGGTTTTTTTTTTCGAAAATAGTTAAAATGATCTGAAACCGAGTACAAATATTTTTTAGAAATGATTTTTACGCTTTATTATTTAATAATCACTAAAAAGTTTCATCAAAGCTTCAATTTTTTTGGTGGTTTTCTTCTTATAAATTAAATCTTTAAGCATATTATTTGTTAAATAGCATGTCCTCCTTCTTCTGTACCTTTACATCTACAATTACCTTGTGTGATTTTAAACAACGAAAATCTTTAATGCAACTTCCAAAACGATAAAAGAAAGACATTGTCGATATTGTTGTCAACATCTTTTAAATTTCCTATGAAAATAAATCAAGACCCAATACGGCAAAAATCTCTTTTTCTCTCTATGACTTCCCCTTTCCAAGAAACATATCACCTCATCATTCTTTTCCCGATTCTGAAGGCAAACCGATTTATGACCGAATTTAATCTGACACCAGGGCTGGTTGTAGTGGGCCCTTCGCACCCTCTTTTTCTTTAGAGATAACCTGTTGCTAGCAAATACACCTATAATTCTTGTCATCTTGTTTGTTTCGTTTCAAGAACAGATTTCGAAATTTACTGAACAAAATTGTTGATTTTTATAATTAGTCATTGAATAAAAAAACGATGCAAGACGATATAATATTATATTGATAATACGAGGAATATTATTTAGATCAAATTAAAATTTTTGCAGGGAACATATCATGCAAAAAAGTTTCCTTTATGGTAGTGTTTTAAATTGGTGATTAGGCTTCTAGATATTTTTGGAATTCGGTAAGATGGAGTCAAATAATCGTTCACTAACTTAGCTAAGCTGAACCAGCATATATTTAGACAGGTATACATGAATATACCTTTTAAATGATCAATCTCGGCATATCTGGTAGCATAGATTATACATGAAAAACTAATACTTACTTAAAACCGCCTTTTTCTTCATCTTGTCCGACTTGTCCATTCTGTACAACCACCACCTGTTGTCCGTTGCATTCCTCTTTCGGACTTTGAGGTTTATCTTTGTCTTTGTCGCAATCTTGAAGAACTAGCGCACGCATACGAGGTTCCAGACCGCCTGGTCCTCCCGGTCCTCTATCGCCCACCATGCTATTGTCTTTACCGGTAGGTGATGTACCTAGTACGTATTCGACCATTTTGACGCCCAAACCGCCGTTATCGGAACCGCGTGGTGACAGGATGCTGCCACCGCCACCAGTATCACCCCCGCCTCCACCCGCGAAGCCGCCCGCTCTTCTGCCCATCGCCAACGATGCGGACACTGCATGTTCTGAAACAAAAAAGAAATCGGTTAAACCGAAACTTTACAACAAATTTAACAAAGATATAAATACAATAAATAAGAAAACAATGCCTGCCAATGCTGCATAATATTGGCGTAAGTCGGAAATAAAAATGGAAACTCTGAAACGATCGCCCATAACGTTAAAAATTATAGAAAAAAATTGCAGGGACAATCCTATAGCAAGCCACTGATACCCAGTATAATGACAATCAAAATGTAATGGTATAAGTACACTGATAAGTGTCCAGGGGTGTGACACCATTATGGTTTGTCGCGTTTACTTTTTAGATTGTACTCCGATAGCTTTCCACGAATACAAATACATAAAGCAGTCAGGTAAATGAAAAACTGATGGTGGTTTCCTGTATACTGATAATATCAACTAAACAACAAAATAAACAAGCAAGAACCTTGATAAAATATTCTGTGGATGGAAAAAATCGCTTTTGAATCTAAATTCGTAAATTCATAACCACTCCTAAACTATTTTTCCTAGTGTATCAGTACATTTATAACTAATATACATTGTGATGATAAAATCTTTCAATTCACCAATTTGTTTTATAATTAGTTTTTAGAAAAGTATATGTACGTCTATCAAAAATTGTATATATATTATGCATTATGTATTATGTATAGTCCATTTCCATCATATTGAAAGCACATTATGTATGCAAATCCCTAAACTGTTGATACGGGTGACTCAATGAAAAATAGATATTTGTCAACAAGTTTACAGAAGTATATAGGAAAACAATTTTAAATTGAGTATGACCACCAGGTATAAAAGTTGAAACAGAATATAATACAATAGTTTTGAGGGTTACTAATCCCTAAATAAAGTTGCCAGTGTCGGAGTGATGGAGATTAACAGGTACTAATGAATTTGCAAGAAATGTAAGATGTTTTTTTTATTGGTTATATATAAAATAATAATTTGTGGCCATAACAGGGGCCGATTTGTAAAATATAGTACATTGTTTACCGGGTAGGAAAAGCTTAACATTCCTGGACGACTGTGAAGATTGCTAAGTCGAGGCGCAAGCCGAGACGCCGAGTCCAGGAATGTGGCTTTTCCTACGAGGTAAACATACTATTTTTCCGCAAATCGTTTAAAATTCGACAGATATTGATTGATTTAAAAAAAAACGCGATAATTTTATTCCCAAATAAATGGTGCTTTGAAATTCCTAATAAAATTACTTGGGTTACTATGGAAACGTATTGAGGTTGAATTGTCAAACTTGACAATTTATGTAGAACACTAACAACTGTACGGAAATATCATTTCCTTACAGTAAGGAAGTCCTGACTTTTTCTTCAAGAAATTTTGACATGAATGTCAAAATTTCCTGGCGATTTGCGGAAAATAAATATTATTTTAATCAAATTCCATTTCAGATTCACTGCTTTCTTCAGAATCTAAGGAATCTTTAACTCCAATGTTAATTATTACCGGTTCCAGCATTGCATCAGTCATATTATCCAAATTCCACATTTTATTTTCTTCCTTGTGAGCATGACTAACAGCATTTTCCAATTTTCTGGAGGTACTTTTGATAAGGAATGTTCTAATAATTGTTGTAAGTCTTCTAATTTAAAAGTTTTGTTGTTGCGTCTGACTTCACCATTTACTTGAGACCATATATTTTCTATCGGATTCAGATCACACTGGTATGGGGGTAAACGTAAAATAATTACATCACGGTTTAATGCAATTTCATCAATTATATATTTTTTATAAGCTGCTTTATGTTGCCTTACAATAGGTAGTAATTCCTTTTTTGTCGAATTCTCCTTGTACTCAATTGCTTGCTTATCCAACCATTCGATTATCTTTCCTTTTTTCCATGCCGTTGTTGGCAATTTTTCTGCTAGTCTTGAATGGTAACTAGCATTATCCATGACTATCACAGAATTTTTTGGAATTGAATCGAACATTTGCTCAAAATATTCTTCAAAAACGTCAGCAGTCATTTCCTCGTGGTAATCTTTGGTTGATTTTGAGGCAAAACTTAATAATCCACTATTAACAAAACCGTATTCATTCGTTTCCATTATGGGTTATTATGAGTCTGCGTGTTTTTCCAACGGGAATATTGTTTATTCCAGTAGATACACCTTCGATGAATGCGGAACTTTTCACATTTGTATCAACCCATAGATATGGTACAGTATGAACTTCATACACCTATATATCTTGAGACTTACTGTTACTTATGATGAAGAGGTATTAAACTGACATGACAAGACAAGGAAAATGATCAGAATTATCTATGGAAGAATAAAGAAGGAAAATATACAAAGAACTAGGAGAGCTATTAGTATAGGCTATAAAAACATACATTAGAACTCTGGTGTTACCGTAAAATGCTCAGAATATCCTACATGAGCCATACGACAAATGCGGAAGTCTTGCGGAGGATGAATAAGGAAAGAGAGCTTATGCTTATAATAAAAGAACGGAAAACACAATATTTTGGTCACATCATAGGAAATCAAAAGTATGAACTGCTCCAACTTATAATCGAAGGCAAAGTCAATAGCAAAAGAGGACCAGGAAGAAGACGCAACTCTTGGCTTAAAAACCTACGGCAATGGACGAACATGACCACCATAGAACTACTCAGGGCTGCTACAAATAAGATTAAATGGGCAAATGTAATGGCCAACGTCCTTAAGGATAAGGCACCGTAAGAAGAAGAAGATAAAAACATAAGGTGTTTATGGAACACGATGGAAAAGGTGAGGATGCCTAAAATGGCCCCACTGCGAAGCTCAAACGTCAAAATATAAATGGAAGGTCAAGGAAATTGAAAATAGTATGGAAAAAACATGTACTAAATGTCCAAATAGTTTCAGTACACTTTTAATTTTGTGAATTTAATTTAATTTTATTTGTAACCGTAATACAGTAATCATGTTGTTATTCCTAAAGGCCTACCAGGCCCGTACAGCGAATATATTATAATAATAGTCAAAAAGGATCACATGGTGCAACTACCCTCTGTGACATCTGCCTTCGCGCCCAAACAGTGGTAAACGTAATTTTCTGCTCAATGATTAATTAGTAAGGCCTGAGGGAGTGTCATGTAAATCCTTGTAATTACCATAGACGATTGTATATTCATGGCTTTTCCTTCAATTATGGTAATGATTAGTAATTTTAGAATAAAAAGGAACGGTTAGGGTCTTGCTTAAGAAGACTTCATCGTTTCTTTATTAATAATCGATCAGTTTTAAGAAAGTCACAACCTAATAAAATAAAATACACTGCGCGAGAAAAAAAGTGATACATGAATTTGCTTTTGAACATCCAAAAAATCAAAACTAAGATAGGTTGTGCAATAAAAATTTCTGGGTTGACATCTTAGTCTTGTCGTTTCCTAAATCCAAACATACATTAACTGACTAGTGGTTTGCATTTGAAATTCTCTGCTGTCTTTAAAAAATAAAAACAAAATGTTAAGAACTATGCACGATAGTTATTTGTCAAATTGCATTTATCCTGTTTCTGGTTAATTTTAAGTATTTCTTAAAAGTTCTTTTACTTACGGAGAAACCTGCAGTGAAATTACTGTATGAAATTATTGTAACGTGTCCAAAAGCTGACTATTCATATACACCACGGTCCATGTTTATACTAATTAGGAGTTCGTCCCAAGACGTTCCTCCTAATTTAAAGACGACTGTTATCCTAATGTGGAGTCAGTCCACTCGCTTCTAAGTTTATACTAATTTGGAGGTCACTCGCATCATAGTACATAGGAACCCCCTTTTGTGTCTAAAGTTTGGACGGAGGCCCCGCTCTATTCAAGATTCCACTGGTGTAATGACCAAATTTCTTCTTAATTAAGACTGGTACTACTCACTACCTCAGCAAACTCCTTTGATTCCAGTTTATCATTATAAGAAATTTGGCTGCGCCAAAGGCTACGTCCAGTTATTCTGATGGTGTATCTGAACAGGTTTATCTGATTTATTGTGAGTATTTTTCCTAGTATTCTCAGCCGATTCAAGTGATGTTGCTTTCACGGATAAGAAGGTTTATATAATAAGTGAGTTATAACTTATACAAACGGCCTTTCATTTATAGCTAACCGAAAATCTCTTGATAGTAATCTCAATAAAAAATGCTTATGAATGATTTTACCTTAGATAAACTTTTCAGATCACCTCATATTCTACGACTCAGATACTGAGAAAATCTACGCTATATTAAAGAAAGGTATCTTTATTGTTTAGATTATTTTTTTAAACTTTGACAGACCTCTTTCTAATCTACTACTTCTAGACTTCTTTAGAAAAATGCCCTTAAAAATATTGTGAATTGCACAATGGACTGTTTTGTGTTTATCAATAACATACAGCTTCGGAATTTTCAGATATAAAATGACATCTCACTTCCTGATTTTCAATTAATGCAACCAGTAATATGAAAAACTGCACATAATTTGTATATTTATATCTAATTTGCAAACTAATATGCGATTTGTGTTTTTTCACTAAACGATAATTTCCAAACACTCCTATTTATGCCTTAACAATTTTCCATACGAAAGTATAGTACATCAAGAGTATTTACACCAAATTGGAAGTAAATTTGAGTAATATTACTGGAGTTATAGAGCTTTGAAAACCGCGCGGTCGGTACGTGCACCTGGGTACCGAGCAACGCGGTCTAAACGCGATTTTCTCGAAACTTTGTTTTTCCGTGCTATAGGCACGATTAGTCGAGAAAGAATCCACAGATTTTGCTGAAACTTTGCACAGTTCATCTTTATACTATTGTCTGGTGATTGAACGAAAAAAATATGAAATATAGAAACGTAAAAAAAATGAGACGAAAATTCTCATCTCAAATATTAGCTCATCTCATCTCATCGTTCTCTCAAAAAACTGTAAATTTCTTTTGTTTCTCAATTCCTTCGTTCAATATCACGAGCCAAGGGCTAAACTATAAGAAACTTTTTCGAATTTTTAAA